CAGTGGTGGCAGACAGCTTTAATTCACATTTTGTCCAATGGTACTAATTAAATACAATGTTTATAGTCAGGTTTGTTAATCTTCAGCTAAGAAGCATATGACACATAACAAAAATGAACTGCAAAGATGCAGAGTTCAATTTTGCCCCACTGTTTCCTGACTTGCATACTTACAGTTTACATGCAATTTAGAACAGTCTCCAAGTTGCCCTAATGTTATACATATTTTTTTCTGGCAATGGCTAGGGAGGCAACAACAATAACTCTTATATTTGTGATGAGGTTTCATACACAAGAGTGGGCATGCCAGTGGCACTGGAGTACAACTTGCTTGCTTTCATCTACAAAATATTAGTGTCCTAAGCACTCTTCCATACAGCACCTTTAATGACCTCTACCTCCTGAAGAGTAAGTTTTATACTAAGGATTTCTTTTTTTCTATAATTATGATGTTTCCTTTCTGTTACTCTCTCAGTAAATCTGTAATTTTAATATTAAGCATAGAATGTGAAAAAAAATTAGGTTGGAAAAGGTTGCTAGAGTCACCTAATTCAACCTTATGCTTAGAGGAGGACTAAGACATTAGAACAGTCTGTTGAGAGTCTTGTGAGTCAGGTTTTGAAGACCTGACTGCTACAACCCTGCCAGTGCTGCCTTGTATTAAGTTAGCCTTCACTGCTGCAATGGTGAACTTCCAATTAACATTTAGAATGCTGGCAATCATGACCTCTAGTTACTTCTTTGTAGATCTACTATGTAGTCAGTCCCCTTCCTTCGTTGCTTCTTGGGACTATTCTGTCCTAGCTGCAGGACTTTTCTGTTATTTCTGTTCAATTTCATGAGGCTTTTGTTATTGGTTGCTTGTCTAGGTCCTCCAAAGGACAGCCTTGCCCCTCCAAGGCATTAAGCACTATCCAAATTACTGTCATCCACAATCCTGCTAGACATGTTATTGTCCAAGTAGTTGACTAAAATGCTAACAATATCATCCCAAGTATCAATCCCAGAGGAACATTATTTAGACTGGAACCTTCAGGTATTCTATCCCCATATTACTAGATATGGTATAACTTAATATACTTTTGTTGAATCACAAAAGGAAAAAGACAGGAAGAAAGTTACTGAGTTAAGAGAGTGTAGAGTTAAAAATTGAGAAAAAGATGCCTGAAGGATTGTTTAAACTGGGATTTGACAGCTCTCAGAGGGAAAGAGCTGAGGTCACAAGGAAAAGCTAAAAGATTCAACAGACATAATCAAGTAATAGATGCATATATGTTGGTATGTGAATAAAATACATTATGTCACCATGAAAAAATATTGTAGAATGTGAGGTATGATAAATTCTACTGTGGTAGTTTATTTGTTCATTTCTAGACAGAAAAACATTAAGAAACTTTTTCAAAGCAAACCAACTGTATGTGCGAAGAGACTTTTAAATTACGTTAACATACTAGAAGAACATCTGGTATAAACACTGTCAACTTTCCATGCATTCTTAGGCAACAATTTGTGGTTAGTGCTTCAGCTGCGTGGGCTTTTTTTAAAATTATTTTTAAATGAACTATGTTCACAGTTCACAAATGTTCAAAGGATATTTTCACAAAATAAATAATTGTGAAAGGTTTCAGTATAAATTTCTCACCCGAAATACTGCTTTGCAGTGCATCTTCATGTTTAACTCACTAATATAGAGTTGTGCTGTTTGCTTTTCTGAAGATAGCAAGAAGCTTTTTCTATACAAGCTACCAATTACTGCTTAGTCTTGATAAATTTTCTAATCTGCTGGTAAAACAGAATCAAATCATGAAAATAAAATAATCATGTGATAAAAACCAGCGATAACATAAAGTATCTTTAGTAAAAATACCGAGCTCCTACTAATGACCAGCACAAACTGGGCTGGTGTTCACTGCAGAGCAAAGATCTGGAGGAAGACAAACCATGTATCATCATGTACTCCCAGACTGGATAGCCTGGATAGCCTGTGGTACTACTATTAGAAGGATGTAATCAGAATACTTATTTTACATTAGTGAAATCAACAGAAATCAGCCTTTACAAGAATTGATGTAATTTACATTCCAGTTGCTGACACAGACATTAAGACTGGTGGAGTTGGACCAAGAAAATCATATTAAATGATTTCAGGTTTTTCTTTTTTATAAGAAAGTCAGTCTTATTGTATATTTGAACAGTTCCTGTCTACTTCTTACAAGTAGAAACACTGAAGATGTTTTTAAAGAATGTTAATCCCAAAAGAGAAGGAATGTTAATCCCAAAAGAGGAAGATTTTTGCTATAAATACTTTGAAAATCCTAATTTCGTTCTGCCACAGTTGTTTAGTGTCTATCAGACTAAGGTTAGGACATTCTCCAGGCAAATTTAAAATTTTTACTTTTTGTTCCCATAGCACTCTTTGCAGGATCCTGCAAGGTCCCTACAGAATTGAAATGATGTTCTGCTGAGTGATTTTTGAGCTTGAAGTATGAATTTCATAGTTTGCATGAATTACCTACCTCTTTCCACTCTTACATGCCAGTGCACATCTATCCCAACTTGCAATACCCTGAATAATTAGTCTTTGGTCTATTCTGAACTCAGCAAAAACACTGTGCAAAAATACATGATGATTCCCAGTGTCCAGAAAACTTCATATTGGAGTGAAAAGACAAAAATTTAATTGTCCAATTGTTGTCAAACAAAAGATAATCCAACTCTACAGATACACAACATAAGGGTAATAACCATTTACTGTTTTAAGATCATTAAGCTTCTGTTCCTCAAACATAAAAAAATTATAAACATTTCATCATCATAAAATTATTATAATTTGAAATATTTTTTATTATAAAGTTAAAAGCCTGACTTTTGTTCCTTCCTTAATTATTCGGAAAAATATATTCCATTCCTAAAATATACTGAAGTGCTTACTTCGCTGGTGAACTTAAGAGTTTAACATTTACCTGTCCATACATAGGCCCAGGAAGTTCTAAAAACACACCTAAAGTAGATTTTAATTTTGGAAAATTCATGTGTAAGAAGATACAAAACCTCTCTCTTCCATTAATAAATTTCCAAATTCAAATACACTGTTTAGGTGCTTATGTACTCTTCTATGATGTATTCTTATGAAAAGGTTTTACAGGTTATATCCTATACATGCTATTTTAGAAAGAAAAACATTTAAATATTAAAAACTTTTACTGAAATGTTTACTTGTTCCAGTACATTTGACACATATTGGATCAAGCTCTGCAGAATAGAAATATGTTACCAAAAAGTCAAAAGATTCTTAGCAAGACAAAATCGGGATGTTTAATATCGATACTCAAATGAAATGCATTGTTGGTAGTAGTAAGGAAAAATCTGCAAAGGAAAATTAAAAATACTGCTGGCATGTATCCTACCATTCCCCATACATGTGTTTATGGACTAGAGACAGAACATAGCCATAAACGATGACAAGTGAGTGAACCTCTAGTAGAAGTTCAACTTTTCACTACTGTTACTTTACTCCTGTGGTAATCAGTTTTTAAAAGTAAAAATACTTATTTTACACCTTAAAGGAAAATAATATTGCTTGATTAAAATGTTCCTTTGGGGGTAAAAGAAAATAAAGCAAAACAAAACACACCAGTGGAAAGTTTTCCCTAATGTTTGATTTGCTGATCAATGTTACTGGTTACACTATATTTGAAGAGATATGAACCTTCCTTTGGGTATGCTAACCAGAAGATCTGGCAGTGTCTACTTATTGTCCATTTGCAGCATAAGATTGTTCTCTGGGTTACTGAAGCAATTGTCAGTTCACTCCCTTTTCCAAATTTAGTTGATGCCAGTTCCAGGACATACAGATTAGTTGCAATGTTGTATTAGAAGAGTTTCTCCAAATAACAAAGATGCAAAGCTTATTAAATTTTATCTTTGCAGGATTATGCATGACATGATACAATTATGATCATTAAGATGTAAGACTGAATGGAATAAAGTCTAATAAACCAAGAAAAATGGATATACACAGGTGATAAAAACCCACCCTCCTATAAGAACAGAATTCATAGAGTAGCAATCCACCAACATTTCTTCCTAAAAATATAACAAATTCCACATGAGCTTCTGAAGCAAAATACTATTCCTGAAATTTTCTGTAAAATAGTACAAAGACAAAAGAAAGTAAAATTTCATGGCCGTTATACTAGGTGGGTTTGCAGACTCAAAGAAGTTTCAGGAAATTTAAACAGATGTCATACCATGTCACTTAGATCAGTCTGCACAAGACGCGACAATGTATTACTCAAGAGGAGTATTGGTAAGATAAGAACATATATATATTTTGCAACAGAAAAGGTTGAGACAGTTCACTAGTTGTCAGAATGGTACTAGCTGGACAAGAAATACGATATTAAGAGGAAATCTTTTTATGCAAATTTGGTCCACTTTTCCATGATACTTTACTGTCTCCTTTTCAATCTTCTAAATAGTATGTAATATTCTGTTCAGTTTGTTATTATTTTGGAAAAAAACCCCAGTCCTTCAACCTTGCTTTTGTTTTAAATGGTTAGGCAGTACCACAAACCTCAAGGATTTCATTAAATAAGCATTTTAGGATTGACTTACCTATAAAAAATTTGAGCTTTAACAAGGACATTGGAATAGCCTCAGCTGTTCCTAAATTCTGTTTATATCCTAGGTAGATTATAAAAGTATATATGCGACACAGTTTTTTTATCTATTTACAATATACAACAGAAGTATGCTGTTTTCGAGATTCTCTGCAAAGAATACTTTAACCAGTTTTGTTATCACAAAACAAAAGACAGATGAGAGTTAAGTTGTCCATAAGTTTTAAAAATATAAATGCAAAATGCTCATTTTTAATTTGGTTTCTTTTTTTTACACATTTTCTTTTGCACATTCATATGGGGGAGAAAGAGACTTTATAACTGTATTCATTTCAATAAACGGACATATAGTTCCCATGAAGTAACAAAAATTCCCTACCTTGATGGACTGACTGTAAGGTCCTATGCTAGCAGGTGCCCAGTGGGAAATGCTCTGTACATGCATGACCAGCTTTTCATCATGTAACACATCATCTGTTGCAATGTCGTACTTATGTGCAAGGCAGTCAATGCAAAACAGTACTCCATCAGGTAACGGGATTTCAACACATACTCTGAAAACACAAGAGAATTATTTTTTTCAAACAGTAAGTTTGCTTGCACCAGCCTTCAACACTGATTTTCCATGTTTTTTCGGTCTGGACAGTATGTTAGGAAATTTTGCCAAGAACATATAACAAAAGTCAGGGTATCACAACAACCTGCTACGATTAACAGTTATCTGCTCTCCACATAATGATCAGCTTCAGACTTCCAGCAAGAAACTTCCATTACCAAGGAGAAACTAGCACCATAGCCAATGGCTCATTTATTTTTATTTTATTTTTAATGTGTATTACTTTATTAAGAATTCATCAGCTCTTTTAAAAAAAAACCTTGACCACACTACTCTGGAAATGCCAGATAAGTTATGCAAAGCAGTCTTTTTTGACATTTGTCACTGAATTTGCTTCCAGTGTTTGGTCTAGAGGTTCAGTTTCACTGAATTATGGAATTGCAGAATGGGTAAGGTTGGAAGGGACCACAGTGGTCATCTGGCCCAACCTCCCTGCTCAAGCAGGGTTATCCTAGAGCACATGGTACAGAATTGCATTCAGATGGTTCTTGAATATCTCCAGTCAGAGAGACTCCAACAGCCTCTCTGGGCAATCTGTTCCAGTGCTCAGTCACCTGCACAGCAAAGAAGTTCTTCCTCATATTCAGGTGGAACTTCCTGTGTATCAGTTTCTGCCCATAGTCTCTTGTCCTATTGCTTGGCACTACCAAGGAGAGCCTGGTTCCTTCCTCTTGAGATACTTATATACATTGATGAGGTCCCCTCTCAGTTGTCTCTTCTTGAGGCTGAACAGGCCCAGCTCCCTCAGCCTTTCCTTGTATGAGAGACGCTCCATTCCCTTAATTACTTTTGTCACCCTCCACTGGACATGCTCCAGGACACAGCACTCCAGATGCATCTCAGTAGGGCTGAGCAGATGGGCAGGATCACCTCCCTTGACCAGCTGGCAGTGCTCTTCCTAATGCATCCCAGGACACCATTTGCTTTCTTGGCCTCAAGAGCACACTGTTGCCTCATGAACAGCTTGTTCACCAGAACGAGCAGCTCCTTCTCCACAGAATTGCTTTCCAGAAGTACACCCCCAGACTGTACTGGTGCCTGGGGTTTTTCTTCCCCAGGTACAGGACTCTGTATTTGCCTTTGTTGAATTTCAGACAGTTCTTCTCTTCCCATCTCTTCAACCTGTTGAGGTCCCTTTCAAAGGGCTGCATAGCACTCTGGAGCACTCCTTCCAGCTTATTGTCTAAGAACTTGTTGAGGAGGCTCTATCCTGTCATCCAAGTCATTGACTAGTAAGTCAAACAATTCTGGGCCCAGCACTGATCTTTGGGGCCTCCAACTAGACCCTGTGCCACTGACTACGACCCTCTGGGATATGCCATTCAGCCAGTTCTCAACCCACCTCACTGTCCACTCATTCAGTCTGCAACTTCTTGACTTTGTCGGTGAGGATGTTGTGAGAGACAGTGTCAAAGCTGTCTGAAAAAGCAGCAGCTTAAAGTTCCTTTACACCCTTCTCACATGTTATCATGTAATACTGTGCATATTTTTCTGCTATACTTTAAGTTGCATGACCAATACACACATATGATAGGGCTGAAAACCTGCTTCAGCACTCATTTATAAAGTTCCTTTTTGTTTCCTCTCAGGAAGACTGAGTGCCTTGATGGACAGACAGACAGTCTGTTGCATGTGGTCAGTGAAAAAGCAGTGAGTTTGAGGGTGCGTGTGTGGAAATCAACATTTCAAAGCCTGAAAAATAATTATGTTTGCAGTCCATGCATAAAAAAGCCATTCAGCTCCCAGCAGGAATCCAACCAAAAATTACTTGTCTTTACATATCATGTAACATAGCTTTATAAAATTCTTCTCATCTTGTTTATTTCTTCCAAGCTATGTTCTTGCTTATTTCTTCTAAAACTATTTTTATCCTCATCTCTCACATGCAAATATAATATTTTTTTCCTCATTACTATTAGCATAGGCATGGATGAATGGATTTTCTGCTTGGGCTGGTAAATTTTCAAGACAGTTTTGCTAATTTAGTGCAGATCCACACTCTTGAGTCAGTGCTTCCAGCATACTGCTTGTGAGAACTCCCACAACCAGGTCTCTGTGCAGAATGCAATAATGCAACCATGCAAACTGCTGTATAATTTTTCTTCAGGATAAAATGCAACATAAATAAATATGTGACATAAACAAAAATGCAACATAGATGAAATGATGTGGAAATGGACCTGGGGGTCCTGGTTGACGGCAAGTTGAACATGAGTCAGCAGTGCCCTGGCAGCCAGGAGGGCCAACCATGTCCTGGGGAGCATCAGGTAAAGCATTGCCAGCTGGTTGAGGGAGGGGATTGTCCTGCTCTGCTCTGCACTGGTGCCACCTCACCCTGAATATTGTGTGCAGTTTTGGGTGCCACAATATATGAAAGATATTAAGCTATTAGAGAGCACCTGAAGGAGGGTAACAAGGATGGTGAAGGGTCTTGAGTGGAAGCCGAGCAGCTGAGGTCACTTGGTCTGTTCAGCCTGGAAAAGAGGAGATTGAGGGGAGACCTCATTGCCATCTACAATTTCCTCGCGAGGGGAAAAAGAAGGGCAGACACTGATCTCTTCTCTGTGGTGACCAGTGATAGGACCTGAAGGAATGGGATGAAGCTTTCACAGGAGATTTAGGTTAGATATTAGGGAAAGGCTCTTCACCCAGGAGGGTGGTTGGGCACTGGAAAAGGCTCCCCAGGGAAGTGGTCATGGAACCAAGCCTGCAAGAGTTCAAGAAGGATTTGAACCACACTCTCAGTCACATGGTGTGATTCTTGGGGTTGTCTTTTGCAGGGCCAGAAGCCAGACTTTGATGATCCTTGTGGGTACCTTCCAACTCAGGATATCCTATGATTCTATGAAATTTGTTTGTTACATAAAAATAAGCATAAAAAAGCCATTTTCCTGCAACTTTTTAATCTTTCTACCTGTCATTTTACTGATGGGAGACTATATGGCTGGCTACTGATTACTCCCTGAAGGTACATACAGCCAACACTCTCATTCCTCTGTGATTTAGTAATCCTGGCCTACAATCAGCATCTTGAAGAAGCCTCCTCCTGACCTCTTTGAGTGTGACACCCAGACAGTGTAGGAGAATGTCAATCTACGATTATCTTAACAATGTCTTTCAAGTATTTGTCTTGCTATACTTAAAACTCTCATTCTTCTACTACACTTTATATTCTGTAATAAGAGTCCAAAATGTAGTATTTTATATTAGAAAATTGCTAAACAGTTGGTTTTAAAAATATGAAGAAGATAAGAGGTATGACCTCACTGTTGACTCTGCTTTGAGCACAGGATTGGACTATATGACCTCCAGAGGTCCCTTACGATCTGTATTAACCTATGACCCAAGTGGAATTTTTCAACCTGTAGCAATTGCATTCTCAGCATATTATCTCAGATGCATAAGAACACAAATTACTGTAAAAAGAAACAAGCCCTCTTAACAAAGGGAATAAAAAAAACACAAATAGAAAACTAGTTTTAACACACAACTAGAAAAAAAAAAGCAAAAATGTCATGAGCTAGGTGTTTGTTATCCAATTTCCAATGAAAAACAAACCCACCACAATCAAATAACGCAGGAGTTGCATACTGCACACCTAGACCATCAAGCAATGTTAGAGGTAGACTTGGATGCAACATACAAGATTCTGTACAACAGATATTAAAAATACTATGCTTTGGGAATCTATGAATAAGTGTTAGCATCAGTGTAATTTCTTTTCGCACTGGCATTCTTACTGAATGTGTAAGTGCACTAAAACTGATTATCTGATGGAAACACAAGAAATTAAGAACAACCACATTGGATCACATCTCATGATGCAAATCTAAAGCAACTCCTCAGCTAACTATTTTAGGTTTGTATTTAAAAAAATAAACAGAACAAGGTAACATTTGTCACAAACACCTAGAAGTTTCCAAACATAATCTCTTAAAGGAAGACTTAATAATCATTGCTACTAAGGCAGCAGTAATGCTTTTGACACTGTCTCCTGTAACATCCTCAAAGAGAAGCTGTTGATGTATGGACCAGATATCCAGTGAAGTGGATTGAAAATGGGATGAACAGCCAGGCCCAGAAGGTGGGATCACTGGCACAAAGTTTCAAAGGTGAATATCCAGGAGCCTATACTGGGTCCAGTCCAGCTCAACATCTTCATTCATAATCTGGTTGATGGGACACAGTGTACGCTTGGCAAGTCTGAAGATAATACAGAACTGGGAGGAGCAGCAGATACACCAGAGAGCTGTGCTGCCACCAAGAGTAAAGAGAGCAAACTGCAGAAACCTGGCCTAAAGCGTGCTGCCTGAATGTAGTCCTATGGTTCAATTCCACTGCAGCAACAGTCCTTGGTACAAATACTTTTCCAACTGGAACAAAAAATTGAAATAGTCACAGACAATGGAACAAAAATTATAACTATGGCATTACCTAGTACAGTGCCATGGGGAAGTTTCACCTGCATCTAGACCTATAGCAGACATTTAATTGCTTATTTTAAGTGAATGCTATGAGGAATCTCTTTTAAACTAATAAAACATTTTTAATTGCAAACACAGACTTCTTGAAACTATCCATGGTAATAAATTAACCTCTACACGAGTAGATTGTAGTATGATTTAATTTTAAGGAAATGTTACATCTGTATGCCTCAGCTCTTATAATAAAATAATAAATATATTTAAAATATTTCAAATAATTCAAAAATATCCCAATTCTCACATTTTACTAATGTTGAAAAAGAGTGAAACTGTGCTAAATTTTTAAAGCTTTTTATACTTCATCATTATAATTTTATAGGCACTTGATCTGGAAGTCAGACTAAAGCTTACAGATGGAATAGAAATTTCTGGTTTGGCCTAACAAGGGATAGCCTTTCAAAGTGAAGCTTAAAACCGGTATCTTTGTGGATCTTTCACCTACTGCTAATTTTTTCAATATATTTTAAAGGTAACATCTTTAATACCACTACACAACTGAAACTAATCTCTATTTAGCACTTAAACATCTACAGTTTCACCGCTTCTTTTGAGGGCCACGGTTGCATCAAGACATATTGATAACCAAAATCTTAAATTGGATTTACATGTTTAAAGGACTGCATGTAATTGAAAAATAGGTTTAGCCAATAAAAATTAAAGTAAACAAATAAAAATCCTGAAACAAATCTCAAGCAAGTGGTGGCTTTGTAATTACTGCAATAATCTTTCAGTTTTAATGGGATTTTATTATCAAGTAACATCCAATATCCAGAAAGCACAGATGTATCACTGATAAATAAAATGAAAAATATATGATGACAATAACCACTGTTATATTTATTCAACTTCCATATAAATTCACATTTTCAGAAAATAGCAATATCTGTATTCTATATGAGTACTTCTAAAATTTTGAGTCTCCCTTACATACGACCAGAGTTTCAAAATCGCTCGGCAGCCAGAAGCTGCCATGGAGCAATGGAGAACTCAGAAAAATAGAAAATGTTATGAACTTCCATCTCAATATGAAAATACAGTTAGTTAACTACCAGTATAGAGAAAATAAAGCATCTTTGTTTCATAGTACTGTCATGCTGAGCCTCCTGAATGCTAGCTAAATGATGAAGGTAGCTAATTTTTCTGAACAGAATGATTTTCTGTAATCAGAAGGAAGGGAATAAACAAAAGACACAGGAATAAAAATTGTGTGTAGAGCTAGGAGACAATTAGGAACAGCCACCTTTTCTACTTCGCACAGAAAACAACGGAACTGTGAACAGACACATCGCACAGAGCTGAAACCAGGAAGGATGGCAAAGTGGTGGTGAGGTGCCAAGGCAGTCTTGCAGGGTTTCAGACCCACCTCCGTCATTTCCATGTACTAAGGCACTGTATGTACATTTTGCAAATTACAGTAATTAACTTTTTGAGTCTCTGAGCAGGAGGGAAGGCTGGGCAAGCACACAGACAAAGAAGGATTCAGCTGAGAATGTAATAAACTGAACTAATCACTTGGAACCTGCTCATCTTTAATCCGCTTTGGTCTTCCCTCTCGGGAAGGGAAAACACCACCAGTCAAACTGGAGGTCTCACTCATCCATAGCTCTCTCTGCTTCATCTTACTCTCTTTTCGATTTACAGGCTTCCCTGCCCTACCTCGAGTACTTTTCAGAAAAACAGGTTAAATTCAGTAATGGAGATGCCTGCAAGTGTGGTTGCTTGACATCTTAATTCCCTGTAACCTTGTTTAGAAAACAAATATTTCAATAACTATTTGACTGCTTCTCCATTCTAGAAGAATAAATCAAAAGCCCTTCCTTGCTGCAAGTTTCTTTCAAATTTTGAAGTTTAAGAAAAAGGTTCAAATTCTGGAAAAAAAAATGTAACAGCTTGAAAAAGGATGCCAAATTAAACCTTGGCAATACTGGTTACTTTTCTCCAAACTAGGAACTGTTAAATTAAACATACATCTAAGGCAGTTCAACCATTTTACTTTTTGCACAGATTTCATACTCTTTACTCAAACAAGCATAAATGTTGAAAACGGGCTCCCTGCAATATCACGGAGCTATACTGGTCCCCTTCTTTTTCCTATTTTGTTTGAGGACACAGGAAGATCTGTGGGAAAGGGACACTTCACATTGCTCAAGACTCTGGGCAGAGTCCTTTTCACTTTACAAATTGCAATAATAATAATGTGGAAATAAGGATATTACAGTTTGCAAAGGCCTCATATAATAATACAAACTGAAATAAATAGCTTTCCTACACTTTTGCATTGTTTCACTTCCCTTCTACTTTCTATCTCAGTGCTTTGTTTTCCTTTTTTCTGCAGTTCCATATTCTTACTAGTTAGGACCAATCAGGCTGCGTCAAACAGCCCGAGAGACGTGAGGCTGTCGCAGCTCCATTCACCCACTCCAACCCGTAGCCAGGCCAAGACATATTGCCAGTGGGTACAGGCACACAGATCAGACATATGCACCACATACATACAAATAGCCTTGGCCAGCCACACCAATCAATGCAGTCAGAGACACAGAGCCCTCACACAAACCGAGACATCGTCAAAAGCCTCAGCCCGCTCCCCTCCCTGGCTGCGCAGGGGGGACTTGCACCGGAAACAATATAAACATGCACACGTACAACTTGGATCCCAAGCTGGGGATCCAAGCAGCCCAGCTGCCCAGCAGCCCAGCTCAGACACTCTGCACAGCAGCTGCCCCTGGATCCCCCTCTCCCCAGTTGCTGTCTCCTGGACATACGAGGAGGCTGCAGCCCCATTGTAGCTACTGGTGCAGACCCTGCACTCACACAGACACACACACACAGGTAACACACACCCACAGCTGGCACTGGGATTCGCTCACTTGGGTCTCTCCAGTCGCTGCCACCCAGGCACATGGGACTGCAGTTGTTGGCACCCAGACACACTCAGCAGAGAGTCCCTCACCCAGCAAAGACTTAGAGAGGAGCTGAGTACGAAGGTAGGGCAGACTGAATTTCTATGATGAAATGACTGGCTTGGGAGGTGAGGAGGGAGCTGTAAATATTGTCTGCCTGGACTTCAGTAATGTTTTTGACACCGTGTCCTGTAACATCCTCCAAGAGAGCTGTTGATGTAAGGGCCTGATGAACAGACAGTGAGGTGGACTGAAAACTGGATGAACAGCCAGGCCCAGAGGGTGGGATCACTGGCACAAAGTTTCACAGGTGAACATGCAGGAGCCTATACTGGATCCAGTCCTGCTCAACATCTTCATTCATAATCTGGATGATGGGACACAGTGTACGCTTGGCAAGTTGCCAGCCACATGGATCTTGACAGGTTCAAGAAATAGGCACACAGGAACTTGATGAAGTTCAGCAAGGAGAAGCTGCAAGTCCTTCAAGTGGGGAAAAAGAAACCTGAGTTCCAGTGTATTTTGGGGCCCACTGGTCCAAAAGCAGCTTTAGAGAGGACTGGTGGTTTCTGATGGACACCAAATTGAACACGAGCAAATAATGTGCCCGTGTGGCAAAGACGGCTGATGATATCATGGGATGCATTCTGAGAAGCACTGCCAGCAGGTCATGGGATGCAAATGAAAAGGAAAAGCAAATAAAATCCCAGCAATATAAAACAGTTGTCAGTTCACTCAATCCACAGAAAACTAAGACTTGCAAACAATGTGTTATCCTTCTGTAAGTACAAATGGGGGGGGGGCATTTGTAAGCCTTATGATATATAATAAGGTAAGAATTTTTAACCTTAGTGTTTTTGACTTGAGAAGCTGGGACGTGATTACTCCAAAAGGCAGCAAAACTCTACTTCTAAGTCTTTGAGGCACAAACATTTGGTAAAAGGCTTCACAAATATGGCAACAATAATTCAGTGCATTACAGTGTATCATAAATATACTATAGTAGTAGTCTAATCTTACCTTGCTGGTGGACACAAATCAAATTCTGTCTCATAAACTGAGTTTATAGCACTGAAATGTTTCATGCTCTTCATATACAGATGAACCAAAATAATATCCTTCAGTTTCAATCCCTCTGAAGTCATATTAGCTGCAGGATAAAAATAATATGGCTGTTAGAGAGAGAATATTTTAAATGTGTGTAGAAAGACACAAATCCTGGTTTTGTTCAGCAAAACCAACTGGTAATAATATGACTGAATACTTTGCAATATACTTTTTCCAATATAAAGCTATTGTTTTGATTAAATTCTTTCATGTTAGTTTTCCAAATACACAAAAACAGAATACAAAATAATCTAAACAGTGGTAAATTCTTGCCCCATGAAAACACATCATGCATTCATGCATGCAGATATGTTACAGTGCAAATTACTTGTATCCATAAGTTTTATTATCTCCATGTGGGGGGCAGAAGCTTCATTTTATGACAGCTAGGAATCTACAAAGGACTTTGAATCACAAAAGGACTGAACTGAAAGGGACAATAAGAGGTCCTTCAGTGCATCACCTTCTTCAAAGAAAAGATCAAATATTTATATGCTATTCCAGAGGGATGCTTGTCTAAGCTGTTTTTAAAGACTCTCACTGCAATAATAATCTTCACATAAAAAAAGAGTTATGAATGGCAAGACAGACAATAGGAAACAGAAGTGGCCACAAGAGAAATGAAGGAAAGATGAGAGCAGAAGAAAGTTCAGACAGACAGCTAAAGAAAAGATACCAGGAAGTCAAGATCATCTGAATGTGTATGCATAGAAGATTCCAGCCATAGCACTCAGGGAGAATGTATTACTCTTATATAGTCAATCATGTAACAAGATATGTGATCTGCTCTGCAGTGCGGATCTTTTGTAACTCATGAGCATTAGAAACTAAATGAAGACAAAAGCTTCTTTGAATATAGAACATATATAATAAGAGAGTACTATGTCACCTAATTTAAATAAGTCATGTAAAGCTCTTCTCAGTGTAATTTTGGGGATCTTGCCCTTTAATGTTACAGTGTGTACATGTATATACTTATATATCAGTTTTCCATTTGAGAAGTACAAGAGTGAAGTCAAAATACATCTCCAGAAAAATCAGCTGATAAACACAATGGTAATTCTGCCTGAAAATACAAATGTATTTGAATGCTGCCTGACAGCAATCACTATGTCAATACCAGCTGCTATGTCACCAGTTAAGGAGGAAAAAAGGATAAATTTCAAATTTCCAGTCAGAATTTTAGTCAAGAAGAAAGAGTCTCGGACTGCAGTTAGAAGTTCTGAAGCATTACATGAAATACTGGAGGGAGAAAAAACCCCCAACAAACTAACACATAGCTTCTCACACACAAACACACTCAGTCTAAATTTAAAATGTAGGAGCCAACAAACTGACTCTAATTTGTGGACACAGAGCAAGTTGAAGGCAGTGATTTGGATAAATTCATAATTTCTGACTTTATTTAAAAAAATCAGCTAAGTAAAAGTACAATCCCTTTCTCCCTGAATGAATTAGAGGAATGGTGGAAAATAACTTCTCCCTGGATTGTAATCAGAATAAAATTGACTCCCAAAGCATTCACTCTAGTATAAAGGCATAAATGGTGAACTGGTTACCAGTCTTACTTGGGTTCTTCACAAGAAATTCTGTTTCTCAGGAAGAGGAATCTTACATAGCATATCTCCAGGATATACAGGGAAACTATATAGCCTTTCTCTTGAATTTCAAGACACTCATGGTTTCTTATAATTTATGAAATATGATCAGGTGAAACTCACCCTTACTTAAGCAGAACTGCCTAAACAGAACTAACCCAAGAGGTTACAATGGCTGAAGTACAGCTTCTTTTTTTATTTTTTTTTTTATTAAGTGGTTATCCAGCATCCTTAGGCATAGAGCCACAAAATACAGTATTCAAACTGTCTACAGCAAGTAGCATTTTAGACTAAATTTTCATGTGTAATAAAAATCCATATAGTTTCCTTCAAGCCTATGGAACTTCACCATGGTAAAACTTCACCAGAGCTGCTTTATATTATATAAACCACAGCAATCTTTGTCATCTTCTAATCACATCTAAAGAAAAAGTTTAACAAAAGAGTTTAAGAAACTAAATGTATAAATAGTAATATAAGACATTCCCTCCCACTTTAGGCTTCATAAAATTCCATCCATTTTACTGAACAACATTTCATAGCATCTAGCAATAAATTTCCATTTCCAAATCCTTTTGTCAGCACTCATCTACTTTAGAGGTGATTAAACTAGTTAACCCAACAAAGAGGTTAAAAGGACTATGCTTATTCCATTCTCACAGCATTGAAGACTGAACTGCTGTACAGATTACGAGTTCAGAAAAAGCCATTGGTAGATTAAGTTCTCAGAAACAAATAGTTTCTTTTGCCATGACAGAACCATAAGTCATTCAGCTTTCCACACCCACGTCCAAAAAGAGAATATATAAATGTGAGAATTGATATTTTCCACACAGGATCAGAAAATTACTTTTTTTCCTTGCAATAATACAGGTAATGCAAGTAATCTGCTGAAAGCAATAGGTTACTGCATTAGTCAAAGACAAATCTTTTTTGGCAGATGCTAAGGCAAAAATACATGCTGTATGTACAAGTAGACTTCCATTCAAATATAATAAGAACACAATAAAACACTGTACAACTCTTTTGCTTCACTTTATAGATTACATGCAGATAAAAATTATTGTCATTTTTAGTAAACTTCTGATCATATCCACCTTGCTGATTTCCAAACAATCAAAAACTAGCTTAATGACCATCTACCAAATATAAATTTGCTTCCGAAAAAAATTCTAGGGTTTCTCCCCCATGCTATATTGCATCCTGAATGCTCTGCTGCACATGTAAAAAAATATGATATGATAGGACAATACCTTACACAAATTCATAAACAAGAATATGAGCTTAACCATTTCGATACTGAAAATTAGTTTCATTTTTATGAATGACACATGTATAAACATACTTCACTTAAACTTTTCAATGAAAAAATACAAAACAAAACCATGAACATTTTATTTTATATGTCACTATCTTGTAAGAGTGGGATAGTGAGGAACCTGGATTTCATGATTCTCAAGATAGCAATATCTCCTTTACATTAGGAATATAAATGAGATTTTCTGCTCCTGACCTAATCCTAGACGCCAAAACGCACAACAACTTCCAAGAAAACTTAATTTAAAATTATGGTAGCTACAAAATTGTTTTAGCAAGTAGACAGCATTCATAGCACACATACATACTCACACACAGAGTATATATTTCAAGAAAGCTATAAAGTGGGCAAGTACTGTGGAAATAGTATTGTTACAGTGATACAAACACTACTCTGGCTTTCCGGGGCCTTCAAAGTCAGTAAAATTATGATGTGTTAAATATCAAAGCTGGCAGTCTTTATATCAAAGATTCGAATCAAATGCAAAATGAGACGGCAAACCAATAACCACAACATTTAAAGTTGTAAAACCACATGACAATACAGATTCTTCCTTATACCATATTAAAAACACTATTAAGTGACAGCAGATAATGTATTAACTGACTAAATCACCTCTGAGAGAAGAAAATGCTTCCCGTGCTGCATCTTGAGCATTTGTGTCTTTTGATGGAAGGAAGTAGGCAGTGATACCTGAAAACCACTGGTAACCACTCAGGGATTTTCCTGAACTTGTAAATGTCTTAGCTATGGGAAACAAAGAATAGAACTATGATTATAATAATGAAAGATTTCAGATTAACCTAGGATATATTTTAAATTGTTTAATTAAGAAGAACTTCTATGGAAAAGAAAATCACAAACTGTAAAAACATGTTCAAAAATATTTACAAACAGATATAAAAATTTAAAATTGTGCTGGTAGCAAAGCTTCCAAATGCTACTTGACAAATTCTTCTCCAACACTGCCTTCAGAAAATATGCATTTAAGTAACATTTAGCTGAGAATTTCACTACTTTCTCTTCTCCTTTACATTTTTGCTGATCTTTTACAATGTCTCGGCCTGTTTGTTTACAGACTTGGCACAAGAGGTGACACTGAAAAACCAAAATTTTCAAAAGTATCCAAGCAACATGGAAACAGATTATCAAACCTGTACTCCAAATTCTAATGGAAGTTAGGTGCTTAACCTGGTTCTGATAATCTCTGCAAATTCATAACGTTTAGACATTTTTAAAGCCCACCAGGCACTTATTAATATCCAAGAAATACCAAGTACCTCAACACTATTCAATACTAAACACTGTTAGCTGTGAAACAGTCTTCAGAAAATTTATCCACCTTTGTACATGGTATAACAGTGATATTGTGGTACTCCCAGGAGGAGAGGGAGAGTGAGAGAAGGAAGGAAAAAATGTTATGCTCCTGTAACCTTACTCAAAATGCTTCACAACTACAGATCTATTAATTCATATCAGAAAAATACATTCTAGTAGATTCTCTTTTTTCCGACTAGTTATTACAGGTCGAGTACATTCTTTTCAGGAATGTTCGTATACTAATTGACATGGTCCACCTGGTATGAAATATTCAATCTTTTTTTCTGATTTTTTTTCTTAAAGCTGTGCAAAACTCACTGAAATCCAAAAAATTAGGTTTCAAAGGCTTCCAGATGACTGGAATGGTTTTCTGTGGTTCATCATCTTCTGATGAAGGGAAAATATCGTCATCAGTGCAGCTTATGTCACAAGAACAGCTATTGACCACAAAAGTACCTGAAGATTCCTCCTGCTTGAGATAAACATTACAAAATAAGCAAGTAAACAGCATGCCAAGCAGTATGAAATCAGCACATTTTATCAAATTATGTGTTTAAATTACAAAAAATACTATAGCTCAACAGGCATATATCTTAGAATAATTCACAGAAGAATAGCATACGATTTCTCATTAGATTGCAGAAACTGGTAGAACTTAACACACTCCTGTTGACATATCATATGGAAGAAAAGTGCAAACTTAGTAGTAAGTAAGGACAGTAGATATGGAAAATTATGAGACTCAAGAAGAGAGACAGAAAGAATAATATGATGAAGTAATGCTATTCCACAATTATATACAGGAGTTTTTAAAAACTATGTTTTTAAAAAAATAGTATAAACTAAGTGAACAAAGGAATTAAAGCACAAAAGTGACAATTTTATAGTTAATACCATCATCGAACACTTGAAGTTGAACAATATTTTATAAATAATTAGGTTTATATCAATATTGTTTCATGGAGATAAATAAAAGTATACATCTGTGTTTCCACAAATAATAAAAAGCTGATCAGTTGCAAAATTTTTGGAAATTACTATGATATATCAGAAAATTTTGCAATATCTCTTATGTAATTGCAAAAATAATTATAGACAATAATTAGAGACAACTGTTGATGTCAACATCTATGACACATCACAATGACTCATTAAAGGCTTATTCCCACAATGCTCAAAAACCATGGGTAAATAATCGCTTTCTGCAGCAGCACAGGGACAGGCTACAGAAAAGCATTAGGTGTGGAACCCTGGCACTCAGAGAACAGCAGGCTCAATGACAGCCTAAGTAGAGCTGCCAGACTCTGTTTAGTAGCTATATTCAAATCTCATACAAATGTTGGTCTTCCATTCCTCTCAACAGAGAAAGTAATCTAAGAAGCTAAAACTTATAGACTGCCACAAATAGACTAACTTTCCCTGAATAATATTCTCATCACTTTAAAAAGAAAACATCGAGCTTGCTATAATGACATTTTAATTAAATCTTACAGAACCTATTTTATCACATAACATTTTCATGTTAGTTCACAGAAGCAATATATTTTCTCATTTGTTACACAGTTTCTCCCACACCCACTGTACATTGTGATACCAATCTAATTTTGGATCAGAGCCTGCATGTATGCATACGCTTAACTATATTCACATAACTCATGTCATTGATGCAAGCACGCTCAGAATGAAGTTAAGCAAATGCACGAGTGTTACAAGATCCAAATTCTCCTGTTGAAAAAGCCTTGGAGCTAGGACTTTGACTGATATAGCTGAAATTCCATGCAGTGGTCTTTTATGAAAACAACAGATTGCCTTCTTGAAAAGCTTACATCCTCCGCTACAGAAACTGGTATAAAAACCTATCACAACACAGTTCTAAAACTGATAACTCTCCCACTGAGCAGCAATGACAATACAGTGGAGTAGAGATCTCAGAAGGCATAAGATTATGATAATCTTTTTATTTCTTTTGATGTACCTTGGTAACAGAACTCCTTGAAATAAATATAATGAGAGAGACCACATACATCTTGCAGTATTTCAAGTACAATACACAGACTCATAGGAAAGAAAGTCTTTTACTCCAAAATTCTTTCAAATAAAGTATCTTCATTATGAGAAGGGTACTAAAAATTATCTTTTCTAAGAGAACTGGACTAAACCTGCAATCAAATGGAGTAGGAAAGAAAATCCTTTATTTACTATCTTAGTGTTTGAAATAAATCAGCATATAGAAAAATTTTGCAGTATTTGTTACCAAGTTTTGAAAAAACAAAACTACAAGGATTATCTACATTCTTATGATGCAGAAGGGAAACTAAAGGTTACGTAGAAGAAGTATCATTCAATGATGACAAAGTATTCAAAAAATGCTACCCACAATGACACCAGCAAAACATGTTTTGCAACTTGAAATTCCTTCCTATTTTCCCTGACATCACTCATAAAGTCTAATTCTACAGCTAAAGTCCTGCATGTAGATTAACTAAATAATTCAGGCCTGAAGGAACTGGACAGAAACAGGGAACTATGTTAAATCAAATATAACCTACAGGATCACGCACCATTAGTACATATGACATGCAAATATCTCCTGAAAACCTTCTCTAAATTTATGAGTCTACAAGTTAGAGAACTTTACAAGTGTTTTTAAAATTATCTCCAAATTGACCTGTGAAATAGATTTCCTGATGTTTAACAGGGGCAAACTGCTTGCACTTCTGAAAAGTGTTCCACCCACACAAGTCAAGATCATTTACAAACAGGAAAACACAATATCAGTTGATGAGAGGTAATATAATGCAATAGTATTATACAAGAAAAAGCAGCAGCAGGTATGATTCCTGCACCTCTTATAGGCAAACAGAATCCTTTCTTCTGCCAAATGTAGAAAGAAAACTACATGACTCCCTCTAATTCTGGACTATCCATAACCTAAAGGGTTGCAGTTTCACAGCTTGTATTGTTTGATGTACAAGTGCTCCTACTCATTGGAACACGGGAACAAAGTATTCCTTATTAAATGAGGGAAAGAGCAAATCTGAAAGCATGAACAATAGCTAATATGTTCGCTACTGTCATCAAAAGTATGTTCCCAGCAGCAGAGGCTCCAACAACTCTAATTTCTGTTTATGATCACTTAAAAGGCAACACAATAGAATAACAGTCCATATGCAGAAAATAAAAATTTATGGAAGTTCACTGTGCTGACAAAGTAAAAATATTGTTTCACAGTTGTATTTTTCCTAATTAAAAATATTCAAAATTAATTTTTTATTGAGTACAAAAGCCAATACACTTGATTTAAAGATTCTGGAATATGCTTCAGAAATTGTCTCCCTTGAACAAAAAAAACATTCTGCACTGTAAGTGTATGAAGTGACTGTCTTATTGGCAAAGTAAAATATTGATAAAACTAGGTATCTATATTAGAGTGGTGACCTTGTTTTTTACCCTGAAGTAAATGAGGCATTCCCAAGTTTTGAACATTAATGTCTTATTACCATTATTACTTATTCTTAATATATAAAATGCCTATAAAAAGTATTTACCAAATTTTTAATAATATTTTATTAATAAAATCTTATATTTATTTATCTCTTTAGCCTATTCTGTATCTCTGTTTAAAAAAGAAAAGAGGGTGTGTTAAAAAAAGCTTCAATTATTATGCAAAAACACATCTTGAAGTTGCACAGTAATGTATTAAACCAGAACAGTGAGTAAAATGTTATGTTCCCCTAGGCATAAGGGCTCATTTTGCTGCCAGAAACAATTTAAAACAAATTTCTAGGCAGGCTTTGTAGTTAAACATGAAGAGATTTAGCTAAAGAAAATGCATTATAGAGAAGGAAAGACAGCAGAGACTAAGATTACACTAGCTATAATTGCATAATGATTTTAAAAGTAAATTCAAAGAATGTAAAATTAACAACTGTGGCACATAACAATGATAAAAATTAATATACAATACAGTTAAAAATATGTATACCTCATAGCTGAAATGATAACAGAACTGATGTCATAATACTTATCAGAATTACACTTCACTGTGGAGTCTATTAATGTTTTCTTCAAAGTGCTTACACAAGTGACTACTTTTACATATTGTTCATAAAGGTGCATTTTCTTTTTGCTTAATTTTCGGCAATCCTTTGAAAGCCTGAAACTAAAATTAGTTCTCCTTCTAAAGCAGTTTTCCCCTGCAGTACTTTGTTATTATAGGATTGGATTTCAAGTGCTGACTTACTAACTGATAGTTAAAATTTTCTGTAGGGCTGGTTAGCACCAACTAGTGACAAAAAGTACAGTACTACAGCCATATCAATCTTGAAGGCATGCATTTATCATTATGTAGTTAAATTATGATAACAGTCATACTCTGAAATGCTTACTAGTTCTCCATACTCATAAATTCTCAGAAATTTAGCTTATTTTATCATGACATAAAATAATCTATGGCCAAAAGATTCCAATTCTTTTCCCTATATGAGACAACCACAGCAGAAATTAGACTATTTTTCTTTTAACTCTACAATACATAAGTTTATATACCAAAGTCCAGGGTAAGCCTCTGCAAACCTTACCCCTTACAAAGTGTGACAGCTTTGTCTACAATGGATTGGAAATACGATTTACAACAACAATGCCTGAAAGGGTGAGGCTTTAACCAAACCTAAAACATCTACATAAGAGGAGGAAAATAACTACTGAACAGACATAAGGAAAATCTTGATTCTTATATAAAATGTTGTGCATTTTAATATGATTTTTTCCTGATTTATGTAAAGCTTTGTGGTTTTCATTTTCCCTAGCCTGTCACATTGTAGTGATGTAAGGTGCATTTTAGCATCAAGTTTGCCATGAGCAATAAAGTCAGTGCCCCCAAAGAAATATTAATATATTATCACTCTTCCCCACCATGCCCAATTCCCAAATATTCCTTTATTCAGCTTATTTGGTTTTGCTTCACATAGTTAGACTCGCTTTTCAGTCACCCACACAAATATTTAATGTTTTAGTTTTGAAAGAAATACCAAACTAGAAACTGACAGGATGAAATACAATTTACTTTCCAAGGCAAGAATGAGGCCATCATGGAAGAAAAACATAGAGGTATTTTACCTGTTTGGAAAAATAAAATTAAAAAACAAAAAAGGGAGGGAAGAGGGAAGGCATGACCTATTGAAAGACATTCAGGAAATGTAGTTGCTTAAGAGACATGAAATGTGAAATATCAATATAATAACACTCTATAACAATCTCTGCACCTAGATCATCAAAGTACAGAAAAACGTAGGAAGAGCTATAAAAAGGTGACTGCAACAGTAGAAGACAGATCATGAGACACTCTCTTCAACAAAATATTAAAACTTAGAGAGATTCAGGAGGAAAAAAAAATAATTTTCCCTATAAAATAGTAAAAAGAAAAACAGAAAAGCAATGACAAATACTAAGAAAATAAATTCTGGTTTGACCTTTATTCTGCTAATATGAAAGTCTGCAACCTTTAAACCACCAGAATTCCTATTCCTGTTCTGCTGTTTCTATAGAATCCTCAACTAAGAGAACTAATCCCAGTGAACTAATGATTCCTTTAAAATTTTTGACCAAGATGATCTCCTCTACATGATCGTAAGTCATTCGTTAGATGTATCTTTCATAGAGAAAAAATAAAACAAAATTCAGTATGTTCAAAACCCGAGCTTTTGAAGGTTAGTGAGGTTTTAAATCTTCCACTTTACATCAGAAACATCAAGAAGAGATGCCACCTCACAGCAAATCAACACTGTTCATACAGTTTCCTAATATAGTTGTGTTCTACAGTGTAACTACCTGTACAACACAGGTTACATATGTGCTTGACTGAACCATGCTGGCTGAGCACCTTGAGGACTCAAGATGAAAAATGCCACACAAATATACTACCTGTATACTATACTTCCTTGTGTCAAATATACTCGACGCAAGGAAGCATTTATGTTCATTCTTTCCTTATGATAAGTTCTGAAATTCAATGAAATATGTACACTGTTATTTGAAATTATGTACATTGTTATTTGAAATTACACCCACATGAGAAATGTAGGTTCATTCCAAATTGGGACAAAGCAACAGAAAAATAGAAAGCATGCATATATCTTTAAAGGAAGATAACATTTTCAAACTACTTGCCTTATTCTCCAGGTGTGATTTTAAAAAATGAAGGTAGCCAACAGGTGCAAATGCATCAGCAGAATGCACGATCACCTTGGCTGAATCTCTGAAATGCAAAATGTTTTTCATCAAATATTAGTATATAATTTATATATAGACAATACTTAGCCTCTGTATAACACAAACTCCAAGGTAACTAATTGAAAATCTATTAATTTCTTATCTGTGTTTCCATATAAATTAAGAAAAAGTAGTTTGGTATATAAAATCATATTGTCAAACATACACATTATTTTCAAGAATTTTCAATGTTCAAAAGGAATAAACTACACTTCCTGTGTCAACTGGCACTGGCAGGATGCATGAACAACTACAAAACCACAGCTGAAATGCAAAGTGTAAATTTGCTTTCATTACCTCTCCAACTGGGGTCCCCAAAGCAGCATTCAAGCAGAGGCACAAAAGCAGGGACACAGGCACTGCAGGGTCTCAGTCCTTGATAGGGGATCACCAAACCTGCTGGGTTTGCCTGTACTTCAGAAATTTGCACAGGCATAATATTCTGCTTTGATCTTTCCCACAGCAGGGTAGGAATCTCAAGTATGATTTTTTGCTTGATAGGGTGCCCCTAAGTTTATCACAGGCCTGTGTTATCTAAACACAGATATTCTACTCATCTAACATACAAGGTCAAACAACAATTAGTATGATACATGTATTTTTTGACACTCCAACTGCAAGCCACTTGAGTGTGTTTACAATTCTGCTCATCAATCTTCCCTTGTTTTTCCCACACTTTCAGACCAATATTGAGAGAATCAGTTAGCTGTAGTCTATGGGAGCATAAATTACATTATGTTTTAGATCCTAGAGACTAATATGTAAAGCAATCTTTTAATTTCACCAACAGATTTTTTTAGAAGTCCATTGTTTTATGTTCCAGGGATTAGTTTTTGAAGTATTAACAACACAGAATATTTCACACTGAGAAACTGACTGATTCAATCATCTTGCATCTGATATTGAAGATTACTAGACACAACTTTTTAATGCCAAATTTGTTGGTAACAATGATAAACTTAATCTGTGCTGATTCAAATTAGTTAGTTTTAGTTTTCATTTTTACAGACACAATCTGTCACACTGATTCACAAGAGGCAGTATCTGTTATATCCATCTGCATGATTTTACTACTCAAGAAAAAGGTAGCTCTAGGAAACAAACATCAGAAGGTGAGAAATGCAAAGAAAACATTAAAGAAACTCAAGCTCAGTACAAGAAAATCCCAAAATCATTGTAAATAAGGACTAAGAACACATAACTTTCTTGAAACCACAGTGCCCTTCGTACCTTCATAGTGTTCAATGAGATCATATAGATAGATTTCTAGTAATGTTACATAAAACCCAGGCAAACTCAAACCAGTTGAAGTCTCGGCCACATCCCAGTGCCTTATAGAGTAAAATTAACAGAAATAGCCGTTCTAGAAAATGTATTTTGAGATTTAAAATAATAAAATATTGCACAATAATTATAAATACCTTTAACATAAGAAGGTCCACTTCCCTTTAAGCAAAATTTTAAAGTATTATGATAAATATGCCTCAGTTTCATTTTTCAGAGTAATTAGCAAGATTTTTTATGATTAAAATATTGTTTATATTTAATATATGAACATAAGATACCTTTTAAATTAAGTTCCTTAAGATTAAAATCATTTTTTCCAAATGACCATGGTGTCTTCTAACAAAAATCAGTAGAAAATGACTTTGGAAATCTTTAGTAACAGGAATATATCGTTAAAAATACAAAAAACCAGACACCAAGACTCCAGTAGTACCTCATACCAGGGTATCCTCTGTGTCTGAATACGTTCTCAATAAACATTTTCTGCTTGTTACTCAAGCCCAATATAGGGGAAATTTAGTACTTTTCAGTGATGAATTTACTACTTAAAACTAATTAACAGAAAAGTTGATATCAGATCGAAAAAAAATTAGGTATTAACTGTATGTGCCTGTTGAATTTAAAGAACACCTAGTAAATGTGGAAAAAAAATATTTAACTTCAAAGTAAAAGAAGCAGCCCTACTTGCTTCCTGCATGTCCCAGTTCACCAGTACAGCAGAGCAGATATATACCTGAACCATGGATATCTAAACATTTGGAAACTATACTAGCAGATTTAACAGGATAACAAAGTCTGTTTAGATTCAGTGTATACGAAAAGTAAGAACAGATAGTAGAAAATAACTAAACTTGTAACTTATTTAATGACAAAGGAACTACAAAATATTTTTCTTAACATGTTCATAAAGTAATAGATTTCATGTGCATGGCCCCTCAAAGGACGTCTTTATTACATGAATAATGTAGGAGCTAAGCAGGACTAATGTAGCCAGAGACACACAATGCCAATGCAGCTATTCAGTTTCCATTATGGAAATGTATATTTAGAAATAGTTGAGGAACCGTTTATCAGTCCACTGAGCCATATATTTATTATTAAATACTCGTTGATTTATATATTTGGGTTTTATGTAATTTTGTGCATTTATTGTTAACTTTTATTATTATTTGGAGTATCACCAAGAGAAATAAAAACAACTCAGTCACACCACCTCTGTTTTAGCTTTTCCTAGTTACTTGACCTGTCTTTAAACCACTCATAGCATGAAATACATTTAAAATATACTATAATACATTCGTATTTAAACTGCCCTTTGGTTGATCTCAAATGAAGGGTACAGTCAACCAGTATTTCAGCGATATCTGCCAGACTACCTGCCAACACTTTTACCAGTTTGTCTATTGATCTCCTCACAAATGCCAAGCAATGAAACAGAGCTAACTGTTCTTTGTTCTCTATTGCTTACACAGACAGATCCCAGTCTTACACTGAAGTGAAACAAATAGACCTTCACTGTGAAAGCCTTAATCATGTCTATATGCTCCATAATCTTGACCCTCACTAAGACAACTGAGAATCAATCACCAATACATGATTAATAGTCTGTTTACTTGTTAAGAAAAGAAACAGCAGTCAAAGTTTCTCACTTGAAGCAAGGAGGCTTAGCTACTTAACAGGCTAATAAGAAACTTGCATCAAGACACAAAGAGAGGGTAGTCAGACATTGGAATGGGCTGCCCAGGGAAGTAGTGGATTCTCTGTCCCTGGAGGCTTTTAAGATAAGACTGGATGTAGCACTTAGTGCCATGGTCTAGCAACTGCAGCTGTAGAGGATCAAGGGCTGGACTTGTTGATGGCTGGTCCCTTCCAACCCAGCTGATTCTGTGATTCTATGATTCTATGATTTGCCATATTTCACTACACAGATTTTAGTAATTTATGCCAAAGGAATAAACTACGCAGTGTAATTGAGATGGATTCATGGAAATTTTGTATTTAAAATATCCTGTAGTAATTGAAGAAAAATGTTTATCACTATCATTCTAAGCCGCTAAACTCACACACTCACACACACAATTATTGGGACCCACAGGCTACTGATGTGGCAGTTTATCAAATTTAGCTGTAATGAAAGATAAATATTACAGGCAATTTGCACTTCTTGAAAGCATAAAAGTGTCAGTGTGTAGGTATCAGTTTTACTGCAAGCCATAATCAGCAAGTAAATGAAAGAGCAAATGTCTAAAAGTTTATAGACCTCTTTGAAGGCCTCATCTTGTCAAGTATTGATTTAGGTTTTCAGAGGACTTTGCCAGGGTTAAACAAAGTGTGTGTAAATTTAGAGAACATATGTTACCACTGCCAATGCCATGTTTTACCTCTTACCACCTCTAGTTGTCTCAAGATAAACTTTTGATATGTACCTGTTACTTTAATATAAAGAAATAGAAGAAACTGTTCCTTACACAACTATTTTCTTCTTAAATAAAGGGCAGTCCAGAGTGAATGTTTCATATTCTCCACCTTCTCCACAAACATGGACTCCATATTTCTCGGAGAGCTAGCACAAAAGGGAAATTAAAACACACAAGTATTACATTAAAGCAGTCTATTAAACATATAGAGCTAAAAATGTCAAAACCAGCAGAGTATTTGCAGGAGAAATACATCTTTCCAGCACCACATTATATCACCTTGTTAAGCGTCACAGCGGTAGCTGCTTCAAGCCAAGTCCCATCCCAAGTACTAACATTCTGCTTTAAGTAGGTCAAGAGAAGCTGAACTGCAGTCTTCAACTCCATTGCAAACACCAATGTTAGTATTGGGAATATTTATTTAACTCTTTTATGCATTTCCTTAAAGGAGCAGAAGCCCACCCATGATGCTTTGCAGTTGAAGTAGCAATGCAGTTCTCCACAACATGTTGAAGAGGGTTAGAAAAACTCTGTCTGGAGGCAAGAAAATAATTCCAAATCTGTTGTTTGTTACCTTTTAGGCAAACATGAGACTGGATTATTTATAGTATACATTGTGGGTTCCATGTTTTAAATGGTTACCAGAATATTTGTGTAGCAAGTCTATTTGATATATTCAAATGATACCATATTTTTATTAGTGAAGCTGAATGCACAGTTTGTTATTTTACAGTTCTCTTTCAAAGCGGTTTTTTTTTTATTTTAAAACTCCAAAGAATGTTTATAACTTTAGTTACTTACACCAAAGGCCTAAAAACTCTTTAGCCTTTAAATTGAAAAAAAAAGGAAAATGCTCTGATAAAACAATACCTTGGTGATGCTCTATGTGAATATTTAGTTTGGCAGTGTAAAATCTAAATGTCTTTTGAAACATGTATTAAAATTTTTTTCAATGTCTTGTTATGAGAGTTATTTTTCATTTTTCCTTTCCCATTTTCTTTCAAAGAAAAGGAGTAAAAGAAATCGTTTAATCAAGTGCTCATTAAAAAATTATACTCCTGACATAAAAGACAACTCCATCTGTCAACAATGGCAACAAGGTTTCTATAGGACAAATACATCAAGAATAATTAATGTTGATGCAACAAGAATGGACAACCTATAAAACAGTTAGTCAAAACCTTTTATTCTTACTCTTGTTGCAAAAAAACTTAAGAAAACTATTTAAAAAATGAAAGAGAGAAAACCAGGAAAGATCTTTCTAAATGTAATCTTTCCATGGTGAATACTAGGAATGACCATTTCCAAGTCACTTTCAAATTTGTAGCTCTGCTTGTAAACATTTGTGTCTAGAATAATTATTGGTAAATTAACATGGAATACTCAAAAGATGTGATACTATTTCCTATCTTTGTTGTGAGAAATCCTAATTTTCAATGTCACTGGCTTCAGCATCATTCTTGACACCAATTATAAAAGGTGCTAAAGGATTTTCAGTTCCCACAAATGTCAACAGGAACAGAGCTCATAGAACAGATTCTTAATGTTCATTTAACAAAGTCAGCAATATTTTTAAAATGTCATCAATGACATCAGAACTGTGCCTTTTAGTAATTTAGAATATTAACATTTTTTTGAAGACAAATTATTTTGTTTTGCAAATTGGATGCTATATTCATAACAATACGACAACTTGGACTCTAATATAAATTTTATGATTGCTAAATCTGCCTTCTTGTTCAGATGAGCCAGAAAACTGCAATTTTACAAATTACACTTAATTAATTGCAAGTAATGCAAGTCTAATTCAGAATGCAAAAGAAGTATATGAAGAAAACATCTTGTAGACTACACAAAACTTATCTTAAGTACTGAATGAGACACAATGTATATAAATGACTAGCTCAAACATTACCCAAAGAACAGTCTAGTCCTATCTCGGGAAGAAAACAGTGATTAAAACTGATTTTCTCACTTAACTTCAGTAATCAAAGATAAATATATGAAGTGATTCCTTTCTTAAGTGAACACTTTCTTCCTAGACAGAAATTGCAATACTTAGTAAATTCTTGTAACTACAGAAATGCTCTTTACATCAAGATATTCTCATCAACTTCTGAGGCAAGCATATAAACAAACGTTTTCCTATTGTCTATTAGCAGAGCTAGAAGTATGGACAAATACAATCATAATGTCCATTTACCATTCTGTTAACGAATTCTAAGGAGAGTGGAAGCACCCTCTGAGATTTCGCAAGTTGCCAGAAAATTCTTTAGCTTAAAAAGCTAAGACTCCTGTTACAGAGGAAACACTGGGACATGAAAGCAACTTAATAATTTAGAAATTATCTAGCAACCACTCCTCAATAATTAATCAAAGACCTATAATTTAGAAAAAAGCTACAATTTAAAAACTCTCCTTTCCGCAATGCCCATGTCCTGAGCCAGTAAAAGTCACTCCTGCTAAAAGTATGTGGTAGATCATCATTGTGCTCATAAGTTCAACATCCTGTATGTAGTAGAATAGTATTTGCAAAAAGTTTTTCCCACTCATTAGTCATCCATTTGTCTGCTACTACAGCAGCAAAATTCCTCACCTCTATGTCAGTAGTTATTATAATTTCTACTGTACACATAAACTAATGTAAATAAGAAGACTGAAAATTTAGGTGATAATATATATTTTTGAACTTGTGGGTTGTGGATTTATTTGTTTGTTGGGGTTATTTTTTCCAATTAACATTAACATGTCTCTTATAATAACGCAACTAGAGTTTTTTTTCTAAAAATAAAACTATTACTTCATGTTTATTTGTTATGTATCCAAAAGACAAACTGTAACAGGCACATTATAGTAATACAAGTCAACTCTGGTCTCACTGCTTGTTCCTTAAGGTAAACTTTTAGTACAATTAAAAACAACAACAACAAAAAGTTAAGTTCTATTTCCTGATATGTAGTACCAGAGAGGTTGAACTTTGTGAACACATGCCAAAAGTAAAAGATACTCCCCACAAATCCAAAATCTATTTACCGTTGTATCAATAACAGATAAAACCTGCAAATATGGGTTTTGAGATTAAGCCACGACAGTAATAATTTCAGTGAAACCAAGTAAGTAAGAATCACTTCAACTGAGCCCTCAAACACCATGAAGAATACATTTAATTCACAAAAAGTACCAGGTAGCTTTGGATTTCATAGTTTATTATTTTCTTTTTAAAATTAAGGATGGTGACATCAAATGCAGAAGAATACTTCTTATTAGCACAGCTAAAATTGCAATACTTGTTGCTACAGTTTTAAAGAAAGTCAAGACTGCTGATTCAACTGAGGTGAGTAGCTATCCATTTGAACCCCACTGAAGTTGCAAGAATTTTGGTAACAGAAGCTTTCTGTGAATGCAGGGACAGTACTTTCCTCCTTTTGGCTTACATAACTTGTCCCACATAAGTATTAATTTATCCAAATGTGACTGACCAGTATGGAATTGATATTACAGCAACGTTGATGCTTCTGTTCAATCTATTCCACAGTAAGGTGTTCATTGTTTCATGATTATAAAATTTTATATTTCCATAACTGTCATTTAATAAGATTTTAAAGAAAGAGAGCTCTGTGAAACAGAAACTTTGCTTTAGTGACATGCAGTAACAAACTAGGGGAGGAGCACATAAATATTCTTAAACTATGTATTATTTACATGGAACTCCAAAGATCTTCCAAGATCTTTGTGACTCCAAAGATCTTCCATTTCTGGGAATTTATCAATCAGTGGTCACTTCTACAGGGCCCACAGAACGTGACTTCACAAGTCAGTACAACTGCTTTTCCACAGCAACGGAAAAGCACTACACAGCATCTCAGTGTCAGAGTCAGCCTATGACACAAATGTGAATTGCAACCAAGTCTGAAGTGCACCATGTTCATGCAGTGCACTGCCAACTTAGCAGTCAGGTTGCTGGAAGCAGTCTAACCGTTATCATGAGTGGTGAACTGAAACTTGTGGTCTCTGGTTCTTACTGGCTCATTAGCTGAGACAAACAGCTATGCTAATACAGCTTCCCAAACTAGCTCAGTGTTCAATTAGATTACATTACCTAATCCAAAAGTTCAGTGATGTTTGAAGTAGTGAACTCATTCCCTCTTCCTTCCTTTTCTGGTAGAAATCCAATCTATACTTTCCAGGATAAATCCACTCTCTCTTCTAACTATTCTTGTATCTTAAAGATATCTCTAGATTTAGCAATTATTTACTGGTTTAAATGTAACTTTTTTATCACTCCTTGAAATAAAATGTCTGCTGCTGGTAAAATATCAAAAATATTTTATATATAGTTAAAGTACACTTATTTTTGTGTACTCCTACTGTATGTCTCCACTGCTGCTTTTTTACCTGTACTACAAGGAAGATATTTAATTCCCTACTTTCCTTCCTTCACTTATTCTGGAGGAGGAGAAAACATCTTTCCTTCCTACTCCTTGAATTTTTGCTGTAGTTGAGATGATCTAAAGAACTAAGTGAAGAAAGACTCACAAAAAATAGATAAAGAATGGGCTCTTTATATCAAACACTTTACATAGTGGAGGGGAGGGGGAGGGGAAGATTTCTGGCCAGATCCTCCAGCTCTGAAGCAACAAACCTCAAGCTAAGAACAGACCAACATAATCTCTTCAAGTAAGGTTATTTGAATGTTATGGACCTTAATTCTTCCTCTTCAGTTTGCCAAGCATCAATTATCTATCTTCTTCTCTCCAGCCATGCAAATAACTAAAAAAATGGAGTTAAGATATAATTGCTGTGTAACTCCACTGTCTTTCAGTAGCAAAATCTGGTTACTTTCTCTTTCTCTTCTGCAAATTTACCATGCCCTTAAGTGTTCCAGAAAAATAACTTATGAAGCCAGGCTGAATGGTAACCATCCAGATTAACAATGAAAAGTATTATTGGAAGATCATTTTGTGGAAATTTAGACAGCCTACACTGATGAAAGTTACATCAAGACTCTCTTAATAGCCAAACAAGAAAATAGTTATGGGTTTTTAACAGGCTCAAGGACAAGGAATTCTGGTAAACTGGCATTCTTACAGATAATATGTAAATACATGCTTTCAGAACTGTTACTCTTAAACTTTACGTAGCTTGATGTTTGATGCTTCTACATCAAACTCAAAGAAGACTCAAGTACAAAATCTGATCTTTTTCCTTTTCCTTAGTTAAATTATTTTTCTTTAAATGAGTCTATTAGCTCTGCCTCCAAGCGTTTTCCTGCTTTTTGGGCCACATAACCCTTTGCACACAATTAAGTACATCCTCAGGAATAAAGCTCTTATTTAATTTTTGAAAGGCCCTACTTTATGAAGTCTGATTATGTAAATGGTAGGAAACCTCCAGATAGGGATATCTTTGGGGATGTTCTTTATCACCTGTGATTTTACCACTACCATTTCTTGCTGTGAAAATCTCCAACTTGCTTGCAATTATTTAGCTTTACCATACTGACATACAAGTTAGTGTTACTGCAATATTGAGGTTCCTTGCCTATAGTTTGTTTTAAAGATGTTGAGACCATTTGTGAACTATGTCAAGAAATAATATTTTTTCATATCGAAAGTGCATATCAGAGGCTTATATTCTATCTACAAAGATAAGCTTTGGGTTAGCACCTAATTTCTGAAAGTAAATTTTTATTAGGTTAATTTTAAAGAATTTCTGCCTGTGTTACTTTTTAATTACCACTTTACCTGTATGAGTATCCTTTAAGTAATACTCACCTCTAAAAGAAGAGGCTCCATTTGATCTAGAGTTTTTCCTAGATGCTTATCTGGATCCAAACCTGCAAAAAACCCCAAAAGAGTAAAAATATTGCTTATGAAATACTGTTATGACATCAAGAAAGGTTTTGTTGTTTTTTTTTTTTTAATACAGAACATGTCCCTTAGAAACTCCACTGTATCTAAAATAATTTCTATCCTAAAGAAAACACATTTAGTCAGAACTTTCTCTTATCCCCTCTGGGCAACTACTTTCCATCTTTGTGGAAAAATAAAGCCCACTACCACTTCACTACGTGTCAACTGTAAAAGCTACTGTTTTCCTTTCTTAGAAGTTTCATTGAACAGTGAAGTAAACACACAGGTCCATGGTAATAGCAATACTATACAGATATTATCTCTTTGAGTCAGAAGTTACCTTTATAGATATCTACTAAATTCAAATACAAGTTAATTTTTTTTATAGATCCTGCAACTGAAAGGGACACAGAATAATTTCCATATTTTTCTGCCAAATCACATTCTCTGTGTGTATTACCCACATACAAATATTTAAGATTAAAAAGGATGGAGATACAAAGAAAACTCAGACTTACAGAATGTTTTGAATGTTGCACCTTTTGATCCACCACAAAATATTGTGTATGATACCTACATTTTGATTTATTTTTCTTTGTAAGAATGTAAGCCCTATTAACATTTGATAGCTACTCTAACTTGCTCCTCTGCATTCTTATTTCAGCTTTCTGACTTTTTGAGTTTGGTCAGCTCATGGCAGTTAATGGTCACTTCTCAGGGATAAATCAAATAATTGGCAGAAATCAGTAGTGCGATAAAAAACATCCAGGAACACCTGTTTCAAGAGCTGATATCTTCCACCAAATAAGTATGCTAGTTGGATTTGACACTAAGTGGTCAAAAAGTCTTACCATATGAACTAAATGAGAAAAAACAAAATTATAATTTCTGAAAGTGAAGGAACACTGGAAAATTTTCAGTTATTACATTTTTACTACTGAGTTATCGTGGCTTGTACCTTTCTCTGGTAGTGATAGCAACACTTCCCCATCTCTTCCTACTCAACTGCTTTCTACAATAATAGGTATCATTAAAGAGCTGCCACCAGAATGACTCAATTCAGAAGCAATTTCTGAAGTATACACCTTGTAAAGCGCTTTAGATCATTGATGATGAAAGCTGTTTCATAAATGTTCAGTACACTATTATATAAAGGCATTGGTGAGCTAAAATAGCTGATATGTCTTAATTTTTACAATCATGATCTTGGTATATTTAAATTCCAGTGAAACTAAAACAAGTTAAGAGTGAATGAGATTTCCAAACACTAGGAAAGTTTTTAAATATTTCATTAATGCACATTAAAAATTCCCTCACTATCTAGGGGAATGCTTTTAGAACTGCTTAATAATTAAAGTCAAAGAAGACTGAGGGTTTTTCCCCCCTCTATTCCTTTTTCATATTGGTTTATTGCTTTTTATTAACAGACTAAAACGTGTGTGCTAGATATACAATAATAATAATAATAATTTATTCTTGTGCCTTACCTGGTAAAGGCATCAAGAACTAATGTAACCTGTAATTTGCAGAACCAGTAATCCACATCTCAAATCCCTAACAGTATGCATGCACAGATACAGCTGTACGTCTGCTGCTACAATTAGTATAATGAAGTATCTAGAACCATACCTACAAAACTGTTATTATAAATCCATAGTTCTATTTGGTACGTTTTTTCTTTAAACAAAGGAGTAGATTGATTCAGATTCCTAAAATGGCAGAGACTAAAGAGAAAAACAATGTATTGCAAATTCTTAGTACTACAACCTCCAAATTTTTCCTGAATATGTGAAGATGTGAAGTAAGTTGGAAGGGTGGTTAAAAAAACAACAAGGTCCAGGGCCTGGATGACTCTATGTAGAATTAAGAAATTAATTAGGAACTATAGTTTGCAGCACTGACATCTATTTTACTTTACTTGCATGTATCAATGGGAAGCAATTACAATTCAATTAAAATATTCACTTTTATTACTTCACTGACTGACCTTGAAGTTAATGCCTGTTTTATTTAATTGCATCATCTATGAATAAATGTTAACCCTAAAATGTTATGAACCATTATTTTCAATGCATTTTAACTCCCCAACTGAACTACATCCGTCAATTTATTATGTGCTGCCAAGAGAGCAAGTGGGGCTTTATTTCTCTGAGACAGACCAGTACATGATGACAGAAACATCTCAAAAGATTTGATAATGCTGTTTTTAACAAATTGTGCTTTCACCTCCAGTTTTGTAGACTAGTTTTACTGTAAAATCGGTAAGTGATAGCACAAATGGTATAATCACTTCCAAGTAATTTCTACTCCATCTGTAATTCCTGATAAATTCATTGACAGGAGCAGAACTCCTTCCTGAAGACATCAACCATGGTTGCAGAATGCTTTTATGCAATTCCACAAGACAAGTGCTGTAGATAACTGCAGCAATGTCAAAAAGATTGGGGCAGAAATTCAGGGCTTTGTTCTGTAGTGAAAAAAAGAACATTAGTAAAAGGCATTTCACTACTGTTAAGTTATGCAAAGGAACAGTATTTTAAATGGTTCACTTTGTACATATGTATTAGTGTAGTATAAAGCCCTCACCTGAGGGGTAACTATGTGATATTACGTGCATTTATCAAGACCATTAGAAAACCATGCTACATTTTCATGGTATTACATTCAGCTAATAAAATCCATATTCTAGAGCCTCATCTGACTAACAAGAACATGTCTTATACATGTTCAGAATTTCAAAATAGTCTTGATTTTGAACGAAGTCTTTTAATATAAAAAATTCTATTTTTACCTCTAAGTAAAATGTCAAATAAATAAAAATAAATCATAATTATTGGTTTTAAGAAATGGTGGTACATAAAATGGTGGTACATAAAAGTTCTTCTAAAAGCTACATTTAACCAAACTCTAACCCATAATACATGAACAGATTGTAAAAGAATCACTATCACATCAATAAAATATGAGTTAACTGTATTATCTGTTGCTAACAGGGAAAAAACCTCTATCCTTTCCTGACTAACCAACCTTACAATTCAAAAAGTAAATCTTATTACTTGCTGATTTCTTCCATAAAATAAGGTTAAAAACAAATCTCCAATATTGCTAATATTATCATAATCTTCTTGAAATATCATATTCATAGAACTAGCATAGGCTTTTGGAGAAAAAAATGGAACCTATTTTAAAGTTAGAGCAACTTGAAGATCTCTTTTTTTTCCTGACTTCTCGATAAATATTGTTGACAAGATTAGTAACTGCCATCATTACGAATGTCAGAGACAAAGACTTAACTTCTGATGATGTAGGGTAATATAATGCACAATAAGGTTTCTGGAAAGATACTAATTGGCTGCTCATCAAGAGCAGAATTATTTAGAATTTTGAATAAGAGGTAATGAAAAACTTCGGTTTTCTGGAACCAAAACTAATCTCTTTCTCTCTCTTCTCAGTTTCTTTATCATAAAGAAAACGAGGTTACCAATAAGGTGATGGCACCTCTAAGGTAAAGAAATATGTATAGAAAGCAAAGAATATATAGGATAAATGCAACCACCCATCTTAGAACTGGAACAGAGAAAACAGAACTAATTTTGGAGGTAAAATCCTCTACTTTAAATGTACCTTTTTGTTTTTCTTTCTAAGTAAACAATAAAAAATCAGTGATTTTCAGAAGGAAGATCAAGCCCTATTATTTACAGAGTACAGAATATAAGAGTATGTTTTTATTAGCACAGGAAAAGCCCAGACACAACAGTAATAGTTGGTAACACAGGCTTACTCTGTAGGAGTGCAGGAATGTCTGATAACCTTCACCAAGTAGAAATGCACATGCCACACAGATATTCATGAATTGTAAACCTATACCTTAAATTGGAGGCAAATTATTCCTGTTGTCATATTTAGATTTCATTTCTGTGAAGAGCTGAGAAGTGAACTTTTTGTCTGGTAGCAGAACTTGACAGGTTCATAGTTGATTCTTAACTCCCTCATAACTTTCACATATGAAAGGCTGCGTTAAGATTGGTGAACTGGATAGATTCCTTGAATTTCCTTCTTGAAAACATAAAAAAAATGGTAAAAGGTGTGTCATGGGGTAAAAAGTGTTTTCCCCTGGAGTTAGAATAGTACTGTAGCTAATAGATGGGGGAAGTTTCCTTGCTGTGAGTGGGCAGCCAGAGACACTGAAAGTGGCAGCAGAGCAGTACTGAACTGTGGCCGAGAGCCAAAAGAGATAACAAGCAGCAGAGATGGCACAGAACCAAGCTGAGAGACGCTGAGCTATCTGACAGAGAGAGAGGGGACCAAGCTCAGCAGAGGCTGTTTGGGGGTGAGCCTGGTTTTATTTCCCCAAACCCTTGGAGGTCCCTCTTAGAAGGGACCTCATTTGAAGGGAGTCCTGAAATGCAGCAGCTCTGGAGAGAGGAGCTGAGAAGCTCAGAGATGTTCTGGAGCTGGACCAGGACGGAATGCGGGGGAAGAGGCCCTGCCCCCCCTGCTGCCATGTTGGCAACTGAGACAGAGCAAAGGAGCTCTGGTAGAATGCTTGGGGCAAAGACTTAACTGAGAGCTGCCCTAAACATTCTGACTCAAGGGAACTCGACCCCTCGAGGAAGGGACTTTCATGGGATGTCTTGCATTCCGTGATATGAGCGTGCTGAGGCGAGCCTTGTCCCTGTCTTCACAGTCCACAGGAGAGAGACCTTTGCTGGAGCTGAAGGGTCAAGGAGTGAGAGAAAACCCCTGTATTGTAATGGAGAGAGACTTTCCAGATATGAAAAATCCAGCTATGACTGCTGCCTGGAAGAGGAGAGACACTGCTGCCCTGAAAGTGGGAAGGATCTTTCCTTCTTCCCTTCTGAACTTTTATTGGAGGGAAAGGAGGGGCTTTATCTAATGCAAATATACTGCTTTACCATAGGAGAGATAGTTAGGATTGTGTATATAATGTATTACAGTATTTATTTAAGTAATAAACTGTAAT